GTGATTACTGCTTTCAGGGCAAAGGATGTGTTTTAACAGCAGAGTGCCCATCTGTAAGGGCAGTTTTGGTTGTGTGTCCTGGTGAGGTTTTTTTCTTGAGTCTTTTTACAGAATCACGGCTCTTTTAAGTAAAGCTTTTGGCTCAGATATGTTGTAGGCATCTTGCTTTTTCATTATCTGAAGGTGACCCACTGAAAGTGTATTGGTGGCTGCACAACAAATAAAATAGAAAATACAATCATAGCTTTTACTACAGTTAGAAAGGCTGAGTATCCATTTAGAATCTCAAGAGAGCCAAAAAACAGAGTCTGATAGATTTGGTTTTTTTCACACAGTGCTGGGTGTTGATTTGCTTTTCTCTGCTGTGTCTTTGTTGGCACGAGCAGTTTTCTTGGCATCTTTCCTCTGAAAGTAAGGGCTCTCCTTGCCAGTGAATGCTTAGAGTGGGCTGTACATAGGTTACAGCTGTGTCAGTGACTGGGTCAGAACGTCAGCCTGGGTTGTGGTGTAGTGTTTGTTTGCAGAGACCCAGGCTTTTAAAATAACAAAACAATCACAAGGTGAGTGGCACTATTCAAGAGGAGGTAGATCTGTTCTGGCCGGCAGTGAAGGTGCAGGTAATTGCCCTCAGCTGCCTACAGCAGGTGGGGTGGGTGTTGTATTTTGAAGGCAGGGACAGAGTGGCCCTGGTTAATGACCTTGATTACATTTTATAAACCCAGGCTGATCGGGAGAGGTTGGCTTTGCTCAGACTTGAGAAACGGGAAGTGAAACAAGGCAGGTGGCTGTAGAGCACGGTGATCCATCTTCCACCTTCGCTCCCCAGGGGAGCAGCAGTAATAAGCTGATCCATATCCAGCAGGAAAGGTTTAGGTTAGATACCGCGTTGTTTAAAACAAACAAAAGCCACAGCAGCGCCTCCCGGGGCTGGGACTCTTGTTAAGTGCTGGAACAACATGTAGACTTTCTACCCGAAGTCACAGTTGGGCTGGTTTTGTTCTTAAACAGGCTCAACAGAAGCCTGGTAGTAGTAGTCCAGAGTTTCAAAGCAAGAAGCGCTAAGTTACTTCTCCCACCACTTCATGAAGTAGGACCTCAACAAGTCAGACTTGCAGGACATATTTTTGCTTTGGCATTTTAATGATAGGAGATCGTGTCTTGGAGTGAGAGGTGTTCATGCTTAGGATGTGGTGGTCGTGTCTCTGTAGCGAGGTGAGGGTAAATGCAGGAATGAGCATGAGGAACAAACACCCAGAGGCTCCTGGCATCTGCTAATGCTCACTGTAAACCAGGTTATTGGTGCTTCAGAAGGGGAGAACGAGTGGGAAATGCAACAGGTTTTGTTTGGTCGTTTTGTAAATCGCCTTTGTGGCATCTTATGGGGGAAAAAATAAGCACAAGATTTGTTATTTTTAAGGTTATAATGTTTAAATTTTGGCCTCCAAAAGCAAAATTGACTTCTCTTGTACAAACAGAGCTTTGCCATTAGGCAGGCTCAGTAAAAAAAAACCAAAACACCCCAAAAAACCAACACCAAAGCCAAACACATAATGAGAATTTATTTCTTGTGTTGCATGTAATTGCAGAACATCGCTACTTATCATTAGAATACAGTGTTGTGAGTTATTTGAAACTCATTCTGAGATGTGGTAGATTTGCATGGGTTTTTGGTTGGATTTTTTTGGTGGCCCATGTTGTCAGCTCATGCCCTGCTCCTTACACAGACAAAGCGTTTGATGGGAAGGGCAGCCCAGCACTGCCTTACCTGGCAGGCAGCACTCACACTGTGCTGTGCCCAGAGTTCTCTGGTGGGCACTGAAATTGCACTGGGCAGGTCAAACACCACCTCACCTACTCTGAAGGGAGTAACTCATTACTTTGTATTTTCCCTGGCAAGCCACTCAAGTGACCTCTTACTGCACAGCGTTGCTGCTGTGTTGTGTTGTGTGCAGGAGCCAGGTCTCCTCTGCCAGCCCCCACCCGGGGTCTGGGGCAGAGCTGTTTGTTTTAAATATCACGGAGGCTCTGAAGACTTTCCGTGGCAGAGGTGTTGAAGCAGTTCAGTATTTAGTACGGAATTGTTTTAAAGTTCTGAGTTCAATTTTAAAATGTCCAATCGTGTCACTTGGTGTCATTTTACCCCCGAACTGGGTTTTGTTTCTCTTTGAACTCAATTCTCAGACTTAAGAGGATAATTTTAAATTCTGAGCGTGCTTTCTGAAGACCTGACAGCTACTTTGAGCTTTCTGGAGCCTTCATGTTTAGTAACTGAACTGCTCCCCTGGGCTCCGGCCCCCTTCAGTCCTGGCCGTGTGTCCTTTCAGTCAAGGACAGGATATCATCTGTAGTGATCACGTAACTGTTTTGCAGCCACATACTATGCTAGGTTCCTTATTTTTAATGGCAAGAATGACATTTGTGCTCATCCTCTGACTTCTCCGCAAGCTCCGTCACAAAAGGATTTAGAATTCATTAAAGTTCTTAGAAAACTGCAAGTATTGTATTTGCAAATAATCCCCATAGTTGAAGGCAGCCTGATGTAATCCTTCCCCTTCTCCAGAAATGCTTGAAAATCTGATGTGAATCAAACTGTCTCTTGCAGGACATCCACATTTCTTAAAATAAAAACTAGGGCCACTCTAGGCTTTATATTCTAAGGGATCCTTTATATTCTTCTAAGGATTTATATTCTTCTAAGGGATGCTCAGTTTCAGAATGTGAGGCGCCACACAGTAACTAAGAGACGACTCGTGTAAAATGTGAAGATATTTCAGAACACAAACTTGTTGAACCATTTACATTGTATTCCACTTTTGAAATGTGAACGTGTGTATATATTTGTATTTTGAAAATAGCAATCGTCAGAGACACAGAAGACACCTGCAGTCTAGAGAAAATACATTTCATATAAATACATTCATGGTTTAAAAACAAACATACAACTTGCTGAGAGACTCGAGTGCAAGGACCTTTCTTACATGTACCTCACTTCTGTGATGCTAACAGGCTGACTGAAGGCTATTCAACTGGTACCAAGTCATTTAAAAAGTTGCCACTGATAAAAGTATTTCCTGTTGTCATAAACCAATTGTATATGCCTTAAAAATAAGAATTTTCTGTTTTAGAAAAGCTGTTTCCTCGTTCCTGTCAGTGGCTCCTGAGTCCCACACAGCGACGTACGGTCAGCTCTGTGCGCCACTTTCTCTTTCTCCTTGAGGGTGCAGGAGGATGCGCTGGCAGTGCTCTGGCCTGGCCAGACCTTTGTCTGTAGGCATGGGCAAGGTTGGAGCTGGTCCCAGAGAGAAGGGACGGTTTAGTTAAAGAGTACACAACCATGATTTAGTTTTGCCAAAATCTGTGTGAACTGGAAAAAAAGAAAGTTACATCTACATGCAATAAAGGAAAAACTTGCCCTGTGCGGTCAAGAGACAAGAGAAGCGTCGTACAAAATCTTTTACTTTCTGTACAGTGACAATACCAAGTAATTTTTCTTTTTAACCATCATATACACAACAAGAATATTATGAATAGAAATCTATAAATACTTTAAAATGAATTTGTAATATATAGCAGTTGAGGGCCACAGCCGTACAAAATGTAAGCGACGTACATAAAATGATTAAGAAAGTGCAAAGTAGAACAGTATCAAGAGCCTCCGCTTTTTACAGCATTTATGGTTCAAGTGTGAAGAGCCAGCAGGGATGCAGGAGCTCAGTTACAAGTCAAAAGAAGACACAGTACAGGATTCTGCACACAAAATTCTGAAGTAAATTAATTTATCTTCCCACTTCTTCACATCTATGACTTCCAGTTAACAAGAGATCACTTTTATAATGAACTTCTGTAAAGAGTGATTTGTCCCTTTTTGCAAGTTCCATGAAACAAAGGTTCCCTGGCCACAGACGACGTCTCTGTAAGTAAAACAAGGCTACCTGGGCAACTGCTGCTGGCTCCTGGTTGCCTGGTTGTGCTTACCAGGTGTAAAAGGTGAACGGAAATACCTTTCCATACACTTAGACCCTGATCCTCTCAATTACCTACAGGTAACTGGTACCACTACTCACAGGTAATGAAGGTCTAGAGGATCAGTGCCTTAAAAACAGAACCACCACCTCAAAAAATAAAAACCAAACCAACAGAACCCAGAACTCCTTGGAGTTTCAAAGCTGCTGTTTGCCAATCGAGATGGGAATTTTGCGTTCTGCGTCCGGGTGCTGATTTCTCGTCAGTACCCCCTGCAGCAGTGCAAGGCTTTGTTTTCTGTTACGCTGCGTGTCCTAGTGGAAAGCTCTGCTTGAATTAAAATACAGTGGCAAGTAAAAACGTATTTGGTGAGTTGGAAGTTGAAATAGTTAATTGAATGCTCTTGAATGAAACGTCGGATAACTTGTTTTTAGAAAGCTTTTCAGTTCACCTTTATTTCAGTAAGTGTACTTTAAACTCTTTTGTAGGCACTGTAAATACTCAGTATGCTAACGGATGTGCAGGAGAATCCATCCATTCTCGAGCAGTGCATTATTAATGATCTCTAGCAAGGTCTTGACTGATGTTGTCATCTTATTTTTGTACTTAAATGGAGAAGGGTAGACTTTAAATACTCTTTTCCTCCCTCGCTAAGTATCTTACTATGACAGAAGAGCTGTCGCAATTACATTAACTTTTATTTTGGAAATATAGGCCAGACTTCAGCATGAATTAAAGAGTAGTTGCAAGCAGTCTGAGTATGCTAGAGAAACAATAATAATAAAATTACCTGGTCATACTGCTTCACATAATGATGTCTGTCTCAAACCTGGAGATGATCACATGAAACTCTATGAAGACCATCAGTGTCGACTCCACTAGTAAGTAACAATTTGGAGACTGATATTCTCTGTTGCACACGATAGAGATTATAGAAATGTTCATCCATTTGGTATATTTTCTGAATGTGATATCTACAGTGTACACAGACATCCAAAACTGCGGCATGAGAAGGAACCATCTGCACAACTCCTTGTTTATTTCCCTCCGTACATTCTTTCAATGTCATTGAGGTAATGGTTTTTCAGTTCTTTCCTTTTCAGCTTGAAAGCATCTGTTACCAGCCCAGTCTCTGGGGTCCATGGTTCAGGGCTTAACCGTACTTTGATGGGTATTTCAAACCTTTCTAATTTCACTGCAGGGATGAGAAGAAACAAAAGAGTGACTATCATTACACAGCCAAATGAAACACTCATTCAGGCTACCTAAAATCTACGGTGAACACCCTGTATCTTGTATAATATGGTGTCCCACTTAATGAAGTAACCTTACAGAAGAGCCCCAAGCAAGTTTAGTCTTTTACTAACGCTGAGTGCTGGTTAGTGTACAAATATCCCCATAACAGACTGTACTTACTGCTTGTATTGGATGGGAGTGTAAAATCGACAGCTTGCAACAAGTGAGCGTGTAGCTGAAGAGCTGAGACTACCGTAACTTAAATCTTGAGTTGTATCTTAATTATAGGAGTGTAGTAATAACTAGATTAACTCTGACTAGTTGGAGACACTTCATATTTAAATTATAATGACGGACTTCTGTACTTTCCATGGCTGGAGAGTCTCATACATAGACTTGGAGCTGAATTTCTAGGACAGTTTGTGGCCTCCAGGTGACAGCAGATGCCAGACAGCTGGGGTCTCGCTGTATGGCTGCCCCAGGAGCTCTTCTGTCCCTGACTTCAAACTGGGACTGTACTGTACTGTTTCATTTTATTTAGATATATGGTTGCTCGTGATCAAGGTGAGTTATGCTTGTTAAAAATGAGAATGATCTCTTTAAAATAGTTTTGGGAAAAAACTTTCAAATACATTAGTTGTATCTCAATGGTAGATTACTATCTAGAAGGTAGAAAGAATGAATAAACAAAGATTTTTGAATAAACAAAGCTATAAGGATAGTAATTTGCCTGGTTGATAGTAGAAAAACACAGATTAAAATGTTTAAACTCAAGTCTGAGACCTATGGATTGACTTTTTTAAAGGCAAGGCTTCACAGTGCCTTTCATTCTTATGCTTTTGCTTTCAAAAGGCCGATTCTCCTCTCTGAGGTTTGAGAAATGCTGCTCAGTGTGTGCTTAAGTCCAGTTTTACTGCTTCCTTGTATGAGGTGCCAAGTGCTTCAGAGACTTTTCCCCAGCTTGTTAATGTGTTAATGTTAATTGTTTAATCCATAAAGGATTGATGAGGCTTTTGATCATTCAGTGCTACAGCGAGGAATAGGAAGCTTCTAAGCCATTACAACCACAAGGATCACGGTTGTTCAAAGCTGTACGGGGGGACAAAATTGCATGGGAAAAGCAGCTTTGAAATCTCTTGCTTGACTGGTTTTCTTACCAGCAAATGTCTTGTGACTTTCCTTCCAAACTGACAGCTCTTTTGGACCCTATTTTAATTGTGTTAGACAAGCAACCTGTCTCTAGAAGTTAGTTGGAAAAAAAAAATATCTCAGATTTTTTAAAAGAAAAAAAAGAGAGGATAAATGACAATTTTTGCTGGATAAGCACCATGAGATTGGCTGGCACAACATGCTGCTTGACTTACTCTTGTTTGCCACTTCTTTAATCTCCCGCAGTATTTCCGCTTCCATCGTAGGATTGTTACAAATGTCCACCCAGCTTCCACTGATGCCTTTCTGCTCAGCTAACGCCGTCAGCTTCTTCTGATTCGGAACCACAAAACTGATCACGTAAGACTGATCACTACCACAGGATGGCGAGAGAAGGAAGGCAAAAAGACCCAAACAGTTGAGGCTTCCATTTCAGGGAGTAAAACGCTTATTTGCTGTGAAATACACAGATCTGCAGTGCTTTCTGGACTGTGGTTATTCCCCCTTATAGAATCCTTCTTGTACATTAAGTCTTCATAACTGATGACTTGTCAAAGGTAATCTGAGTTGGTTTACAATGTTAGGTTTGGTATACTGTAATTTCAGCTGTAGCTTCCCTGCCACATCAGGTGTTTAGCTCATCCTCTTCAGTTCCCCTTCATGCAGTGCGCTTAAGTTGAGGGGAGGGAGAGGAGAGAAGAGACCGGGACTATTTCCAAAACTCAGTGGAAAGCTTTGGATCAGGTGAAAAGTGTCCAGATAAACTTTTCTCTGGTGTTCTGACAGAAAGCCACAACACATGGTGAATATAATGATACCTGTCTGGGAAGGGATGGGATGGAACTGGAGTGTACTGGGACAGGAGAAATGCCAACAGAAAAACGAAGTCATTTCTTCAGGTCTTGGGGAATCTGGGCACCTGTGCTACTTCAGAGATGCTGTTTGTAACTTGTACTCTGGTGAGGGGTATGTTCGATGGAAACCACGGAAAACTGTGATACGCCATCAGAGAAGTGGGTCAGAGCCTGTATTTCATGTGTACCCTAAATGGAGTTTCTAAATTTAAACCACTCTTACCTTTTGGCATAAGCACAGATGTTGTCAATCAATGGACAGTTCTTCAGGGCTGCCTCTACTTTGCCCAGAGACACGTATTCCCCTGCCTGCAGCTTTACCAAGTCTTTCTTGCGATCTAGGAATCAAAGGGGAAGTTAAAAACAATGCAGAAGTTTAAATGGAACAAGCTTTTTTCCACCGACTCATTTGCAAAGCCACTACATTTGTATTTTGTGTAATGCTATGCAAGATTCTTATTAAACATGAGTTAAAGCATCTTACTAAAAATTTTAAAGCAGCTAATAACATGTGCAGATACTGCCAACTTTATAAAGGCTTCTATAAAATGTTTATATAGCACTACACTTCTTGTCATGCAACTTGTATGAAAGTGATGGGGACTCTGATTTTAAAGCTTTGTAATTAATATCAAAATTTAATCTTACATTTATTCTTCGAAGTCCGTGTGCTAAATTTAGATAGTGATAACGTCACAGGAAAGGGCATCACTTCCCACATTTCCCCACAGCTGTGAGGACTTACGGAACGTGATTTGCACTGTGATTCTGCAAGCAGGTAACCTTAAGTATGTTAGTCCTGGCAAAGCCAACAGGGTTAACAGCACACTTATAATTATGTTTAGTCAAGACCTTATAATTTATTAAAATAAAAATAAAATTGAGGCCAACCTATGATTTGCAGACATCCATCCGGATGAAACTCCCCTATATCTCCGGTACAGAACCACCTCTGACCGTTCTCATCAATGCAGAACTCTTCAGTTGTCTTCTCTTCGTTCTTAAAATATCCCATTGAGACATTGGGTCCACCAATTATAATTTCACCTCTAGGATTAGGCTTGTCTTTATTAGTATAGCCCCCTGAAAAACAAGAAAATCCCCCCACAATTATTTTCAATAAAATAGTTTGAAACATCAGCTTGAAGTTAACACACACAAATTGATGACTGTTATAAAAGATAAAGAACAATTACTTCCTGTGTTACACCTCTCTAAGCAGATAGGCAAGGAAACCAGCTGAGCAGTGTTTAAATTAGGTACTCTGAAAGCCAAGGATTTAATACTCTCACCTTCTTGCCAGTCTCTCAGTTTGATTTCACAACAAATAAGAGGAGCTCCAACTCTGCCAGTGCTGTAATCAGCAACTTTGGGAGAGAACAAGGAAGAATACAGAGGTTTTTGTTATTTGAAATATAAACTCAAAACATAAATATGACAGTGGATTTATCTCCAGTTACTTTATTGCAGCTAAGAACTACAGCTATTTTGACTTTACAAAAAAACCCCACCAAACCCTCGTATGTATCTATCTTAACTGATGAGTTTCCAGGGGCATCTTAACTACCTTCTGTAATAGTTCCAGCTCCACACGTTTCTGTCAGTCCATAGCCCTGACCAACAGGACAGCAAAAACAGATGTTCATGAATCTCTGTGTCTGAGGCGAGAGCGGTGCTCCTCCAGAAAGCATCATGCGGACGTTCCCTCCCAGCAGTGCCTTTACTTTTTTAAACAATAGTCTTGAAAGAATGAAAAAAAGCATTAAAAATCATTCACTCAGCTCACTTTTATAAAAAAACACAAACCACCTTCTTCCTTCCTGGCTGGAGCACTTTAAAAATAACTTAATTATCTACAAATTTTAGTGGGCAGCAGAGACAATAAAAACTGTTACCTCTTGTGTAACGCTTGAAAATGGCAGAGTTCCTGTAAGTGAACTACACAAACATTCCAATTTTATTACTAAAAAACCAGCAATCCAATGAAAAGTAACCAGACATCTGTTCTGAACATTAGTCAACCCTGCCAAGAAGTATCTTATCTGTTTCCAGTAAAAACTGGGATTATTTCAGTTAGTCATTAGATGGTATTTCCACATTGGATGAGAACTGCCTGATGTCGGATAGCTTAGGTTATTTTTCTTCTAGACTGTCTTAACAACTCACGAGGGAAAGGTACACTTGGACCATGAATTATACTCACACGTTACACAGTGGTGCGTCGTATCCCCTCTTGATTTGTTCCAATTTGTAGTCATAGCCTATCTTGAACAGAGTTCTCTGAATATAGTTCATCTCTTGAACTTTACTCATGACATTTTTATAAATTCTGTCCATTATTTCCTAAAAAATAAAATGAAGACCCTATTACAGAATCACAGAACGTTAGGGATT